TGTAGAATGTGAAATCACTTCAATCTGACTGAATCCAACAGCTAATAAGATGAGTAAGCAAGTGAGTAAGTAAGTGTTCTCAATTTCAAATATCCACCCATCATGGGAGACGAGACGGTTTGCACCGAATGCGAGTTATTTTGCACGCTCGTTAAAGTGAAACTCGAAAGTCATTTGTATTTGCCAGGTTTTCAGGCCTAGTAAGTCGGTAAGTCATCCCCAGCCGATGGTATTGAGTTAAAACAACAAAAGGGAGGCAGGAATTGTGTTTGCTCACGGGCCGCCACTCAGGAGGGTCAACACGAGACAATTAACTGCCCTAATCATAATTTGACGTTGCTTGATCCTGGTATTCGCAAGCTCATCGTTGCGGCTCTTTGCACTCTGCGGCTGGAGGCTCGTCTAAAGTTAATCCTCGCAAATGCAATCCCCCTCTGATTCTTTCTTCGCTTCGTATCAATTCCCTCTCCAAACAATCGCGTTTCCACTGTTTAGTTCGAAGATTTCTGCAAAGCGATTCTTTAAAAAAAAAAAAAAATACTTTCTGATCTATTGAATAGAAATAGCATGTCAGCTCGATTAGACTGAAAGAATAAAGAGGAGTATACCAACAACAACCTCCCTAATGACAATAGACCGGTAGAAAATGGTCGGAGCAGCCCCGAGGCAGGGCGGATGCCGTTCAGGAAACGGTTCAGGAACACCTCGAGTGGCAATTCTCGTCAATTACACGCGTCTTTCTTTCGAGCAACATCGAAACGAGGCGAGTAGCCCGGGGCTGCGCACGGTTTCCGCCGGATAATCCGTCGAAAGTTGGTGTCAGATGAAATTGCCCGAGGAAACAGTTGGCGAGGCCACCACCGGTTGAAGGGTGCTGACTGGGTCCAATATTGTCGGCTGCTTACCACGGTGGTGGTGGTGGTGGTGGTGGTGGTGGTGGTGATTTTGCGTGAACCCTCGATGTACGCGACGTAACGACGTTACGCTAACTTGATCAATCGTCCACTTTAACCGCATACTCCCTGCTCGAACGGATGTAGCGAACCCCGGCCTCTGTCGAGCATAAGCCAAACAGGTACTTCAATGTTCCTCCCAAATGTCACGTGTTCTATGCCTCGCGCTTTGATGAACTGCACCTCCCTCCTAGATTTATCGCTATCCGATACACTAATTAACGTCAGAACTGAGAGATGAACGATCCACGCGACAGAGGCGATTATTATCTATCAGGTAGATGCGCGAAACTGGCAGTTTGTAGTTTCCTTTCATAGTTTGTGCGATGCAAAAGTTTAGTAAGGTTGTCGACTTTGAGAAATGCCGATTCCAACGTGTGAAGAAGCTTGTTACCCTCGATTAGCTTGGGAGCAAGCCCCTAAGTGTCGACAGGCAAGCCTTGTCGGCAAACTTTTATGATGCAAGTACACCTGTTACCTGAGAAGGGGAAGAAAAGAGTTACTGGTGGATCGGTAATGGCGAGGCGTTTCATTTACCTGAGGCTGAGCGACAGTTAACCACGAGTTAATCGAAAGTTAAAGCTAAGCTCCCCCTCCCTCGGCTGTTGAGCAAACTTCGATCGGATCCCTGCAGGCCCTGCCTGCCTTTTTGCACTGGCTCCGACGTACCAATCAAAGATAAACAAGCCTGCTCCCCGTTTATTTCCCTTTTATTCGTTTCAGTCGAACGTTCGTTTCGTTGAACATCGTCTCTCCTGAGGAAGAATATTTGACTGAAGATAGATAAATAAAATTTGAACTTGACACGAAACCTACCAAGCAGCGTGAAATGGTCATTTCTAAAATTTAGAATAATCCTGCGTTAATAACCATGTTATTTCAATGCATTTTTCAATATTTGCCGTTTCCCTTATTGTCTATTTTTTGAAAAAAAATTTGTGGTCCTGTTTGATCCTATTTATATACTTTGCATGAGTCTTTGTCTTCTATCATCTTACTTGCTATCTAAAAAAAAAAAAAGAAATGGGGTTCAGTATTTTTCTCCAACACTGTGAGCAGAAATAAATGATCAGATACCTCGTTTGTGATTAATTAGAATAATTAGAAAAGAAGTCTAGCTCTTTCATAGACGGAGGTGAGTCTACAAGTTGTTCCTCTCGTTGTTCGCCATCAATTTCTTTCCTCCATGGTCTGTACACACCAGTGCATGCCAGTCGGTATGCATGTATGTATATCCCTATCTCGTTCAACTTTCTCTGTGTTTACACACCGTGCCGTTGCGGGAGCGACGGACAAACGAACTGACGGACAGGCCGTTCCCTTGAAATAACAATTCTCTCTCCGGCAGAGTTCATCCCGTCGTCTTCATCTGCCGTGTCAGATCTTTTGCCTGCCACGCTTTTCGCTGGAATACAATTTCAGGACATCGGTTACATGGCTGAAATTTCTTTTACTTCTTTTTATATATAAATTAGACACTCCTTCCTGGTGGAATTTTTTTTTTCACTCTTCACCCACGTAGCGAGTGTTTCACATTTTGTTCGATAACCCTCGACGTGTGTGCAGTTAGAATCGAAAGGACACTCTCTCGCGAGTAGTAGTGGCGCGTCCAGCAAGCAGATCGCGGGAGAAGAAGGACGAAGGCACCGAAAGGGTGACACGCGAAAGCGGAGAATGCAAGAACGCGTTGAGGCGAAGTTAAGGCTGTTTGTAGACCTCTCGAAGTCGCCGCACGCCCGAAACTCTACCGGGCTTCGACGAGTGGATTATCGGTGGGAAAAGGAATTAACGAACGGGAGCGGCGAGAGAGTACTTCCCTCGTCTAGTACCTCTTCGTGGCTTTTAGATAAGGTCTACGTCCTACGCATCGCGCCACAAAACGTACGAAAGCGGATTCATCGGATTCGCAGCATATTTTTCTTCGCGCCATCTCTCCTCACATTCTCTTCGTTCTCGCCTTCCGTGATTCCGTGTAATTTTCTATGTATCTACGTGATACCTGTCCACCTGGAAATGAGCTTCAGTTAG